TAAATGAGGCTTTGCCACCCGGCCCCAGCAGCTCACAGCCAAGCTCGGCCAATTACAAATAGGCCCTTGGTATGTCTGCAGCCACCCCCTCAAGGGTGCTTTCCTGGCTAATATAATTTTTTGGGGGTGGGGGTGGAGCCCTCAAGCAGGCTCAGGGGCCAACCTCAATGGGGGATACAGACAGTGCTGGCAAAGCAAACAAAAGCGCCTGGATTTGGAGACGCAAGACCCTCTCCCTCCTGCAGTTGCTATAACTGAGAAGGAAGGGAGGACAGAGGCCCGGACCTTCTTGAGGACATTTGCAAAGCCCTCAGCTCTCTCTCAGCCCTGACCCCCTTAGAGTTTTCCAATGCGACGCCTTCTCCCAGGGGACTCCGATCTGGACAGGCAGTTTCTGGGCCTGGGGTGGAAACTAGTGAAAAATCCCGAGTGCCCACACCTAGATCAACACCCAGAAGGCGGCGCTGGGAGGCACACTTCCTGAAATTCCTTCTCCGGCGCTGGGAGGCACACTTCTTGAAATTCCTTCTCCGCACCCTTAGAGGAGGGAAAAAAACCCTGCCACAGAGGGAGTGGCAGCGCCAGGTGCACAGGGCAGGGTCCTCAGGTACACACCCCTGCACCTGGGGCCTAGTCACACTGTGTCCAGAGGCAAGGTAGGGGTGGGGCATGTCTCTTCCAGGACTGAGAGGCCCAGGATCCCATCTCCAGGTCCCCTGTCTTTGCTGGTGGGTTAGGCTCCCTGAGCCCCGCCACAAGGAGATGCAAGGCTGGAGTGGGAAGGGCTAAGGAAGGCAGACTGGGGGCAGTAAGGGGAGGATGTGAAGTGGAGAGGAGGGTGCACCAACACTCCTGCCTCTGTCTCGTTCCTCCCAGGCCGCCTCTGCCTCCTGGGCAGCCAGAGAAGCCACGGCTGCTACCATTGCCCGGATTTCCACTCCCACACCCAGGTATTGATTTCCTGCATCATTCATTTGCCGGCCTTGGCTGCTGTGATTAGCTCCCTCCATTCTCCCTGTGGAGCCCCCCGCCCGTCCCTCCATGTTCCAGCAAAGCAGAGCTAATACCAGGCTTTAAATGAGGCTTTGCCACCCGGCCCCAGCAGCTCACAGCCAAGCTCGGCCAATTACAAATAGGCCCTTGGTATGTCTGCAGCCACCCCCTCAAGGGTGCTTTCCTGGCTAATATAATCCTCTCTAACCAACCCCACCATCTCCGGAGCCCCCACCAGCCAGGAAGCACAGATTTGTAGAATGAGGCATCATGCAGATCTTGAACCTCTGAGAAGGAAGGGAGGACAGAGGCCCGGACCTTCTTGAGGACATTTGCAAAGCCCTCAGCTCTCTCTCAGCCCTGACCCCCTTAGAGTTTTCCAATGCGACGCCTTCTCCCAGGGGACTCCGATCTGGACAGGCAGTTTCTGGGCCTGGGGTGGAAACTAGTGAAAAATCCCGAGTGCCCACACCTAGATCAACACCCAGAAGGCGGCGCTGGGAGGCACACTTCCTGAAATTCCTTCTCCGGCGCTGGGAGGCACACTTCTTGAAATTCCTTCTCCGCACCCTCAGAGGAGGGAAAAAAACCCTGACTTGGTGATAATTCTGTAAGCTATGTTGCTCTTGTCAAATTATTCAACATCTGTCTTCATGTTCCCACAAAAATTAGCATAGGATAGTAGTTTCTGATGACACCTTTGGTGAAATATTTTGACTTCCACCAGTAAGTTGCAAACAACCTGTCTTAAGGATAATGTCAATTCCCACTCCTGCATATTAAATAATCCCGAGGTTTGTTGTGTTTTTCTAAGGGAGAGGAATCCCTTCAACCCGCCCCTTGCTGGAAGTCCGGCAGCTATGGGCGGAGATGAGCCAGGGCAGGTGTATCCTCATGAAGGATACTCCTCCATCCCTTGGCTACTCCCTCTGCCTAGAACTAGGCCTCTGGGGCAGCCCACCACCCCTGGCCTGCTGGAAAGAAGTTTACAGGATCCACCCTGGAGCACAACAAACAGGGCCAGGAGATTGAGAGGCTGGGAGGAAAGAGGGAACCAGCTCCAAATGGACCATCTGGTCTGGTACTCAGCTGCTATAGCTTCTGTGCCCCCAAGAAGAGCGAAGCCACCTGGCCAGTTTGAGAGCGCTTCCCCGGTCCCATTGCAGCAGCGCAGCTCGGGTCCAGCACTTGGACCCTCAGAGGGAAGCAGACATAGGTCCCCAGGCCCCTGCCTCCTACCACCCTCAGCTGAGACTCCCAGCTCAGGCCAGACTATGGCGGGGTTTGCCCTCCACATCCCAGTCTTCCTCCCTCTCTCCAATTCAGCTTCCATGTTTGCTAATCTGCTCCTCCCTCAGCCACACAGGCCTGGGAGCAGAGGGGAAGGGGCTGGTGGTTCCCTCCCCAGGGCACACTTGTTTTTTGTTTGTCTTGAGTAAAAACTGCCTCCCTCCTCACTGCCAGGGCGGCACTGGGCTTCAGCCTCCTGTCTCTTCTGCATCCTGAGTTCCCCCCCTATCTATAGCCACCAGCCTAGAGCCACCAGCCTAAGA